CGTTGTGAAAGGGCTTCGTCCTTCTTTGCTCCACACCTTGGCTTTGGCTATTTCTTCCACCTGGAACGCTGCCCACCCCTTTCTTTATAACCCCACACATTTTTAGAAAACTGGGTCTAAATTCCACTCTTTCTTACAGGATTTTTTTTGGCAGGGGGGCACCAGGGATTGAACCCAGGGGCACTCGACCATTGAGCCACATCCCCAACCCTATTTTGTATATTAGGGTCTCACGGAGTGGCTTAGGGCCTCGCTTTTGTTAAGGCTGGCTTTCTGGCTTTGAACTCGTGATCCTCCTGCTTCAGCCTCCAAAGCCACTGGCATTACAGGCATGTGCCTCAGCGCCCTGCCAAATTCTACTCTTTCTAAGAAGCTTTCCTGACTCCCTAACCAGGGCAGTCCTCTCCTTCCTCTGGCCATTATAGAGTCTGTTCCCCTGACCCTGGCTGTGCTCTGTATGGCTGGGAGCTTGTTTTGACACCTGTCACCAAAGCATAGTGCTGGCTCCAGGAGACAGTCACAAGCTGTGTATTAAGTGAATCAAAACTGTTTTCTTCCCCTAACAAATATTTGTACTCATGACATGCCAGATACTGGACATCTTCTCTAATTGCTGCCTCTAACCCTCTGAGGCAGGCAATGAAGTTATTTTCTGGGTGGTAGAAGCAGAATCTGAGCTTCCAAACCTGCCCAGGGGCATCTATTAAATGGAGCAGCTGGGATTCACACCCAGGCAGCCAAGCGCCATATCCCCGTGTGAGATGCCATGATGGATGCCCTCTGCACCTGTCTGTCTGTCTAGAAGTGCCTCAAATGGACCCAGTCAAAAGAGGGAGGCTGTATTTTCTCATTTCAACAAGTCTTATATCCATAAAAGGTTCTGAGGGGTCGGGCATTCTTTTCTCCTGAATATAAGACTGAGAAATATTAAAGGAGGAATTAGCTTTTTTTTTTCTTTTCTTTTTTTGTGGTGGTGGTAACAAGGGTTGAAGCCAGGGATGCTCTACCATTGAGCCACATCCCCAGTCCTTTTAATTTTTTTTTTTTTTTTGAAACAGGGCCTCGCTAGTTGCTAAGGCTGACTTTGAACTTGTGATCCTCCTGCCTCAGCCTCCCGAGTCTCTGGGATTCCAGGCGTGTGCCACCCCGTCCAGCTAATCTTTACTTTTACTTATCTATTTTTTTGCAGTGCAGGGGAATGGGTCTAGGGTCTTGCATGTGCTGGACAAGCACTTTACCACTGAGCTACGTACCCTGCCCCTGGCTTTTTAATGTGGTGGGAAGCGAGGCCTGCATAGCCTCCTTGAAGAGACCCAGCAGAGCAAAGGAAAGAAAATCCACACCTTATACACCACAGAGGTCACTCACACTTCACGGTGGGGAAGGGGAGATGGAACCCTGTAAAATATATGGTCTGTGGAGGATAATGGTCAGGGAAAGGGCATGGGAGTTCTCCTCTTCCAGCACCATCCATGGTTGACCAGATGGGCTTGCTATCAATTGACTAGCTGTGTGACCTTTAGCAAGTTATTTAACCCCTCTGATCCTCAGTTTCCTATCCTCAAAATAAAAATAGCACTTGAAGCTACAGTAACAATTCAAGGACATGATGAATGTGAAGGGCCTCACACACTTGGCCATTTGAGGAGACCTGTTCTTACTGATGTGTTGTTCAAGGCGCAGACAGTTCCAGTCCCCCTTCCAGCCCACACCAAGCAGCCATGATGGCTTGTCCAAGTCTATTTTCTGTTGCTGGAACAGAGGACCTGAAACTGGGTAATTTATATATAAAAAAAGGTTTATTTTGGCTTATGGTTCTGGAAATCCTGGCAGGAAAATAGAAGGGAAGTAGAACCAACTGCTCTCAAGACAACTAACCTCCTCTCATGGGAACCACATAAATCTCTTCATCAGGGAGGTGCCCACAAGACCCAGCACCTCTTAAAGGTCGCACTACTTCTCAACACTGTTAAGTCTTGACCTGAGTTTCAGCCACATTGTAACCACAGCATGTCCTGGGTACTCTCTGACTTTGCCAAGCCTCTGTGCCTTTGCACACCCTGTTCCTTCTGCTAGGAAGGCTCTTCCCTTCTCCTACCCCCTGAGTTCACCTACTTATCCCTGAGACCCAAGCTAGCAGTAGATTCTCCACGGTGCTGCCCTAATCCCTCTGCAGCCCGCTGTTCCCCTGGGCCTGAGCTCCTTTAATTCAGCCCTGACCACAGTGAGCAGTAGGTGGGACGGCTATCTGAGCAAAGCCCGGGTGAGAGCCTGGCGTGCAGCAGTTGCCCATACGTGACTTAGGAGCTGGGACTGCCTTCACGGGCAGCTTCCCCACCTGACAGGCGCCTGGCTTCCCATTTACCCATTTCAGCACCTTAGGTAACACCTGCCACTCAGTGACCCCACTCTCCATCTCTTTTAGACATTTGCCATTTGGGTGTGGAATCTCCTGGTGACTAGGGCTGGTGGGAGGTGGTGGGGGCCATCGGGGATCCCACCACGGAAGTTGCGGGGGACACAAAATCCTACTCTGTACAGGTTGGACGAGTGACCCAGGCTTGACCAGCTGGATGCTCCTCCATCTTGCCCAGAACTCTCACCTGTGGTGCCAGCCACCAAGGGGTGGCAGTGGTGGCCAGTAGGGCTGGTGCCTGCGCAGTGAGGAGTGGAGCTAGCTGGCTCTCTGTTGCCTGGCCTCCTTGCCCATTCCCATCCTGGTGTTCCAGCCTCCCTGTAGACTCCTGGCGCTCCCTAAGACTCTTCCAATCCACTGCTTTGCTGTATCCTAGCCTGCGTTGGATTCTTTCACTTGCAACCAGGAGCCTAGTGAGATGCAGGCAGATTTGCAATTGATCAAAGTGTATTTCTTTTTCTTTCTTTTTTTTGGGGGGGGGTACCATGGATTGAATTCAGGGGCACTTGACGACTGAGCCACATCCCCAGCCCTATTTTGTATTTAATTTAGAGACAGGATCTTACTGAGTTGTTTGGCACCTCACTTTTGCTGAGGCTGTCTTTGAACTCGTGATCCTCCTGCCTCAGCCTCCCAAGCTGCTGGGTTTACAGGCGTGCACCACTGAGCCTGGCTATCAAAGTGTATTTCTGAGCATGCGCTGAAAGGCTGTTCAGATTATATGTAAGACACAGGCATGCCCCCAGGGGACCTGATCCCCTGGAGAGACAGACCACTTCATGAGACCAATAACAAGACAATGCCATGAAGCTGGACTTAGCTGGTGTTGCAGACACTAGAAGGAGAAGACTGAGAGCTCATGTATTGGGGCCATCAAAACACCAAATTAATTAGATTGTGTGAACTGGAGGCAGTGGGACAATGTTCCAGATTAGGATTTGAGCTGAAAGGATTGGGGTAGAGGAAAGGAATCCTGTGGAACCTGTGAGCCAAAGCAGGAAAAGACCAACCGAAGAGCAAGCAGCCAGGTCCTTGTGTCCATCCACTTGGACCCAGCAGGGACCCAAGGGCGAACTAATCCAAATCTAGGCTTCTCTGCATGTGGGGTGTAGGCAGGAAACCACGAGGATGCCATGAGGCTGAGAGGTCTCCAGGCAGCGGGAGCAACAATGACTTCCTCTGTCCTCTCGGGTAGGGCATGAACTTCATCTGGGGATAGTCAGAGGCACAAAGTGGGTCCTGGGAAGGTGGCGGGGTTTGAGTAGGGATGATTTTGACTGTGATGCTCTCCAGTGATATGGTGTTGGGCGCCCAGAAGCCCTTGGGAATCAGGTGTCCCCCAGAGACAGGAGCTGCATATAGCCCTGAGGGGACGGACAGCGGTGCTGGTCTGGGCTCCCCTTGCCAGACAGCAGTTTATCTCAGTAGTTTTCAGTCTCTCGACCTGTCCTCTCCTTCCACTGTTGGATGTTCAGACCTGTCACTCCTAAGCTCCAATTTCCTGTCCATCCATCAGAATCCCTTCTGCCAGGGCCACCTTCTGTCTCATTTGGCCATGGTGCAGCCATCAGGGGCTTAAATGAGACCTTCCAAGGGCTTTTGGGTCCTAGGAATGGCAATGATGTGGCTGACCCACATTTTGTCAGGAAAGTTGGGATCCACATGCCCTGAGTGACTTGTCCCAAAGAGCACAAGGGTTATGACAAAGGAAGAGAAGTAGATCTCTTTGACCAAATGTCCTCTAAAAGGGTGCTTTCTTCCTACAGTGTTGCCAAAAGTTTAAAAAAAAATTCCATGAAGTCAGCTGGGTGATATCAAAACAACTGTGGGAGGAACGACATCAGCAAGTTTGATGGTGTGGGGGGCAGAGGCAGCAGGGTTCTGTCTTTGGCTTCACCTCCCAGGTTTGATCTAGGTAAATACAGAAGATCCCACTAGAACCCAGCCTGGCAGTGACCTGGATCTACTGGGAGGAAGACGGTTTCTTGCAAGACATCACCTGGGAGCAAACCCCAGCCCCTTCTTGGCCTGACATTGAGGGGTTGGCTCTGCATGGCAGGAAAGATGACAAGAAGCCAGAGGGGCAAATAGTTCCCATTTCACACTAACGCTGACTCAGCTATTTCAGGGTCTAGAGTGGCCAGGTTCCCAGGCAGCCCTGGCAGGAGGATTCTGAGAGGCAGACAGGGAGATGGGCACTAGGAAGCAGCAGGTCCTTACATGCGATGGAAGCAAAAGAGAAGGAAGGAGAGGGAGTCCGAAAACTGCCTGCCAACACTGCAGGGAGCCTCTCCCAGCCCCCACACCTTCCAGTTCCTTCTCACCTGAACTACTCTGCTGCCACTTGGAGGCACCTGTTCCTTGGGTCTCCCAGGGCCACGCCCTTTGTGTGTGCATAGGGAAGTACATTGTACACATTTGGTTAGTTCCTTCTTTGAAAACTGTAAATTATCAGACACAACCCTTTTGTAAAGCCATTTGGCAACAATATCAAGTGACATAAAAATGTTCACAGCCTTTGACCCAGTCATCTTCCTCCTGGGAATTAATCCTAAGAAAATAATTTACGAGGAAGAGAGAATAGTTTCGTATCCACAAAGACATTTATTGGGGTGTTATTTATAATAGGGAAAAACTAGAGACACCTTCCACCAAGGAAGGGGAAGGGGCCCATAAATTATGGGATGCCCAGCCAATGAAATACTATCCTGCTAGTCAAAATGGTGGATTGAAAATTGTGTAGCAACAAGCGAGAGTATTTAGGAAATCAAAGCGGGTGCAGAAAGGCACACAGGGCCGTGTATGCGCTGTGGTCTCTGTGCGTGGAGGCTGATCCAACAGAACCTGGAGAGATTAGATCAGGTGGCAGTTACCTGCAGGGAAGGGTAAGGGGATGAGACCCTGCTTCAAAGGCGCTTTTCCATGGCTCTAGAGACATCCTAGTGAGACCCATTTTTGTAAAATTGTCATTGATCCCCCGGGATTTTGACCCTCTTTACCGTGGGAGGGGGCAGAAGCGGCGCACCTGAGCCCGAGCGTCGGTTCCTCCCCGTCCTCCCGCCCAGGTCCCCAACGGAGATGCCACAGCCTCCGAGTCCCCAACGCGACGTCTCCCAATTTTCTCTGGGTTTTCGGTGGCAGACAGAGCCTGGGGCACGTTTTCATGCTCATAATTGAAATTACCTGTTGAAGTCGGTCGAATGAAAAAATAGCCGCGCCTCCCACGCGGCCGCCGGGCGCCGCGCGCTCCCCGCCGCCCGCGGCTCGGCCCTGAGCTCATTTCCTGGGGCGCGCGCGCCGGGCTATTTCAGCCTGGCGCTGGGCACACAGGACAATTTACTGAAGCCAAAAGGGGCCCAAATTACAATCGTATCACAGACAAATATCCGCCACGCCAGGTCTCCGGAGCCCCGGGAGGGGCCAGGGCGGGCGCGGGGGGCGGGCGCGGGGTCAGGCGGGTCCGCGGCTCCCAGGCAGCGCCCGCAGGACTGGCACCCCGATCTGCAGCAGAAGCGGGCACCGGCTCCCCAGGGACCTTCCTATGTGGGTCACCCTGCAGAAAACTTCGCCTCTTCCTGTGGTCTCGCTGATTTAGAGCCCCCTTTTATTTGGCTACTTGTCAGCACTTAGGAGGAAACGTCCCTCCATTCAGCTCCTTCAAGTTCAAAGTCATGTTTCCTTGGTCAGAAAGCTCGGTGCCTCACCATCACCATCACCGTAAGGAAAAGTGGGAATCCTTAGCCTTATAGCCTTGTGGCTGGAACAGCCATGTGCCAGCCCAGGCCACCTGTACTCCAGCCTCACTCCAGCCAGCTTCAGCCATCCCGGGGAACAGCAGGCTTTCTTGGCATTTACCTTTTTCATGTCCCCTAAATGTTCCTTTGTTGCCTGGTGAATTCTTATTTCTTCCTCAGGATCCAATTACATGTCACCTTCTCCATAAAGCTTTCCCCAATGTCCCCTCACCCCTCCAGGCAGCCAGCCCTGTCCCTTCCTGGCACGCAGAGCAGAAGTGTACGGGACTCCTCACATTCTGTAACTATTGGCTTGCATGTCTGTGGTACACCATACCATTGTTCACAAATATTCCCTTCTTCCCTTTTGGGAAAAATTCTACTCCTCTAACCCATTGGCCTCTCTCAGACTTGGCCGTGTAACTTGCACAGGCCAGTGAAGTAGGATGTGTGAGTCACTGGGGCATCACACTTCCACAGTCAAGGACGGTTCACCATGCTCTCTTTCCTCTGCTACCAAGTTGGCAGTGCCCTAGCCAGAAACCACACTGCCACCTGACCCAGAAATAAATGGAGTGGAGCTGTGCAGGAACCAACACAGAATGCATAAGAAATGAGACAACTTCAGCACTTGAGACCTCTGAGACCTTGGAATCACTTGTTATTGCAGCATCAACTAGCTGGTCCTGACTTCGGCAACCTCTGCTACTCTTTCCAGGCTTTACCCTCACAAAATCAAGGATTTTACTGTATTCCCATTATAGAGCGGGTCCTCAGCCCGTGTTCTTTTCGTGGTTAATAATGTTAATAGCAAAAGTTTGTTGAGTACACACTGTACACAGGCACTGTGCTATGCCCTTGACAAACTTTATCCCACTTCATCCTTTTGGCACGGTGGATGGTGGTTACATAGGGTTTATAAAAGGAAAAGGGGTTCAGAGGAATTGGGACTTACCTGAGATCTAAAAGCTTGAGAGGTAGAGCTATTTCATATGACCTCCCCAGCCCCAGGCTCCAGGTCAAATTCTGAGCTGACTGGTTTCTGAAACTCCAGCTTTCCCTTTTGGGCACCTCTTTCCTGGGCTCTCTTAGAAGTGTTGTTTATTTTTAAAATGCCTGTTACTAAACCAGCATTTGGGCATTTAGGGAAGAATTCTCTACCAATTATTTAATCTCAATGGGAAATAGGACCAGAGTGAATCTCCTTCCCAGGACAGATACAAGTCCAGCCCTCTCTGATTATCAGAAAGGTTTACCCTTCCCTTGCTTCTTTCCTTCCTTCCTTCCTTCCTTCCTTCCTTCTTTCCTTCCTCCTCCCCTTTTCCCTCCCTCTCTTTCTTTCTGTACTGGGAATTGAAAGCTTGGCTACTCTACTGCTAAAATATACCCCAGCCCTTTTAATTAATTAATTTATTTATTTTGAGGCAAGGGTTTCCTTAAATTACTGAGGGCCTCACTAAATTGCTGAGGCTGACCTTGAACTTGAGGTCCTCTTGCCTCAGCCTCTGAAGTCACTGAAATTCCAGGTGTGTAGCATCGCTCCCAGTTACTGGGGGTTGAATTCAGGGACACTCAACCACGGAGCCACATCCCACTCTATATTGTATTTTATTTAGAGACAGAGTCTTGCTGAGTTGCTTAGCGCCTTGCTATTGCTGAGGCTGGCTCTGAACTCACGATCCTCCTGTCTCAGCCTCCAGAGCTGCTGGGATTACGGGTGTGCTCCACCGTGCCTGGCCCACTTACCTTTTGTTCTTAGTTACAGAAATTTCCAGCTGGAGCTTGGCAGGAGAGGGGATGTATTTCTGACTGTAGGTCCCTCACATTGCTCCAAAGAGGGAGACATGCGTCTCTCCCCTGCAGGCTCTGTTAGCTATGCCATGTCTGTTTCTTGAACATGGTCTTGGCAGGGGCTGGGAAGGCTCTTGGCTAGCTTGTCACATCAGAAAAAGCAAAATGTGACAAATCAGAAGCACTCAACTGTGTGACCAGAAGAAACCCCCAAATCAATGTGGTTTAAGATTTCACTCACCCCATACAGCTTTCCAGAAAGGAAACCTGAGGGTCCTGGTTCCTTTCAAACCCCAAAGTTAAAAACTCTTTACCTCTTCCTGACCTTCCTGGCTTAGGAATTCAGGCAGCTTCTTGGGAGCCTCCTTCGCCTGCTGTAGACTTGGCCATAAAATCGTCCATTCAGCCCTCACTGATGGTCTTGCCATGTGCCTGTCAGAAAGGGAGCAGAAATGAGTGGGGTTTGTCTTCAGGGGTCTCAAAGCCCATGAGAAACACAATCCATGAACAGAGTCAAGCACAGTGGGTGCCGTGTTGTGTGTGAGTGTGTGTTTGTTGGGGGCAGGGGGCTTAAGGAAAGACAGAGGGGAACCAGCAGGGAGCTCTTGTGAGTTGAGCTGAGCCTTGAAGTATGAAGAGGAGTTCCTCACACAGCAGAGACAAACAGTGTCCTGAATATACTAGGAGTTAAAATGTCATGCTTACTAAGCTCAGGGAGATAACACAAATGAACAAGGAAGACTGCAGTGAGGCAGGGATTGAAGTGGAGGCAGCAGTGTGAAGTGGGAGGCCCCCCACCCTGCCTACCAGGCCTCTGCTGAGAAGACAGCCTGGTTTGGACTTGGTCTGTATTTACTCCATCTGCCGGGTGCCTTTGTGCAGTGCACAACACACATATCCTCACATGGCTTCCCTTCCTACTTATGTTGGTCATCAGTTACTTGTTGCCATGCTGAAAAAGATACATCGACTTTGTTACATTTTCCTTTTTCAAGGGAATCCAGAAACCCAGATTTTACATAAAAATATCCAATGTGTCAGCCACTGTTGAGGCAAAATCATCATCATCATCATCAATCATCATCCAACCTCAGATTGGATCCATTGAAGAGTTTCAGTTTGTAACCTTGATGGCCCATTGTCTCCTCCTCACTCACACCACACCAACACTGTCCTTCACTGAAATGTGACAGGGAAAACATAATCACTGGTGGAAGCTGAATGGCTGCTGAGTGGCTCTGTCAGGAAGATGAGATTGGCCTCCGAACAACATGGGGCTGCCGGACAGGAGCTGGCCCTTGGCATTGATGGGGAGAGGTTTAATTTATCCACGCACCTCGCTTGGAGAGAGCTGTCCCTGCCCTCTGGGCTGCCCCCACCTCCCACCCCTCCTGTTTTGCTAATGACAAATGACAAGCAGTGGACATTTATTAATTAAACTGCTCACAGTGACCAGTGGTAAAACCAAGGCCACATGCCGAGGAGGCATTGAAAGCATTCCTGCTGTCCCGGTCCCGGGCACAAGGCCCCAGGCTCGTCCTGCCCGCACAGAGCAGAGCAGAACTCGGCCGCGAAGCCTTGCACAACAGGTCTTCCTAGGATCTGTCTGGGCTCCACTCTGATGAATGAAAATCATCTCCATGGGCCACACAATAATTAAACTCCCAGCATTCTTTCAACAAAAAATGTTCCTCTTGGGACATTCCCACAAACCACTGAAGGACTGTCTGGGGCCTGCAAGCTCCCGGCTCATTACCTAGGGATTTTTTGAAGTTGACCTTGACTGGGGATCAAAGGGGGATGGGAGTTCAGGGGGAGGGTACTGGTGGGAAATGCCTTGAAATTAAAATTTATCCTTTGGTCGATCAGCTTGAAGGGCTAACACCTATTTCCCTGGGAATGAGATGGGCAGAGAAAAAACAGACTTTCAAGGCCCATTTTTTATGTTTGTATTGTCTGTTTACTGATGGATCCCAGACACCTGAGACAGAGCCGGGCACCTGAGTGAGTGTTCAATAAATGTTTGTCAACTGATTAGCCTCAGGTGCACTGATGGCAATTCATAATAAAAGCAATTGGGAGCAAATCCCAATTAAGGACATGTGGCTTCTGTTTATTGCCACAAAATTGTATACAGGGTGAAGGATGAGGCCAGTGTCTATTTGATTGACTGTTCCCAGTCCCAGCCCAATGCCCAACCCAGAACCTGCATATAGTGGTTTCTTTTCTTTTTTGGTACTGGGGATTGAACTCAGGGACACTCAACCACTGAGCCACATCCCCAGCCCTATTTTGTATTTTATTTAGACACAGGATCTCATTGAGTCTCTTAGCATCTCGCTTTTGCTGAGGCTGGCTTTGAACTCATGATCCTCTTGCCTCAGCCTCCTGAGCCCCTGGGATTACAGGCATGTGCCACTATGCCTGGCTCACAGTGGTTACTTGAGACTATTGATTGCCTGAAGGTCTCAGGGACAAATCCCATTTCAGGGCTGGGTCAGGCAGAGTCCTGCTAGGATGTGTCCTTCATGTACTTTGCAGTTCCTGGAGCTGTAGCTGCAGTGGCTCGGGGATCAGAGCCTCAGTGGATGTCATAGCTGAAAAGGCCTGAGATCTCAGCCAGCCATTGGCTGGACAGAAAGAAGAAATGAATTAGCTACAAGGTCGGGTTTCTAAAAATCACAGCTTCATTTTCCTGTGTCTCTCTTTGAGACCCTCATTCTGCCTGGGAGCAGCAAATTTAATTTGATTTAAAATTTCAGCCAAACTCATTCCTATTTGAATTCAAGCTATTCCAAATTTTCTCATCTTTCTCCCCAGGTCGAGAAGGTTGGCAGGGACTTGCTTAAGGCACACACCATGAGTGAGTGGCAGCATCAGCCAGGAGCCTGGGACTTGGCTCATCACTCTGGAGCCCTCCTCCTGTACCAGATGCTGTCCCAGGTTCCAGCACGTGCAACTGTAATCAACTGTAGTGACAGTAACTTTTTTTTCCCTTTTTTCCCCACAATTGTTTAGAATTGGGTGACAGTGATAGTTTTAAAACACAATCACAAATTCTTTGATACTTTCCCAGTTGAGACATGGGTTCTTGTCCTCATTCCTTCAGTATCTGTAAGCTCCTGAATGCTTCCATCAATAGACTACAGAGAAGTGACACACGATGTGACTTCCAAGTCTAGGCCATTATAGGTCAATCAGCTTCTTCTGCCTTTTTAGCTGGGACGTGGAAACTAACCTTGCAGCCCTGAGCCTTCATGCAAGCTCAAGTCTCCTGAGCGGTAAGGAAGCTCAGGACATGGAGAAGCCATGTGAACACACTCTGGTTGACAGTCCCCACTGAGCCATCCTAGTGCAGGTACCAGACATGAGAGAAGAAGCCACCAGATGATCTCAGACCCTGGCCTTTCTAGCCATTTCCAGCTGTTTGAAACATCCCAAATGAAGCCCTGGGCTTTGTAGAGCACAGACAAGCCACCCTGTGGGCCCTGGTCAAATTCTTTACCTTCTAAATCTGCCAGCCTAGCAAAATGGCTCTTGTCTTATTCTTTCAATTTTGGGGTGATTTGTTCTGCAGCCACAGTGCGCTGAGACAGTGTGCCATCTTGTTCTGCTGGGAGCCCAACCCTCAAGGTTCTGGTATTTATGCTTCTCCTGACCTACCAAGGAAGCCACACCTGTCCCTACCAGAAGGCCACCAAGAAGGCCAGTGAGTGTGTGGCAGTGATCCTCATTTTAAGGAAATTGCATGAATAATGTTGTTACATGACGGGTAAGAAAATACAGTACATTCTTCAGAGGTTGCCTGGAATTATTTTAGGGAAGTAAAGGAGGCAATTAGGACTCATTGACAACAGACTCTTTTCCTGTCCCTGCCCATCCACATCTCATTGATTCCTAAGGGACCCTTGAGTATCCATTCAGTGCCAGCCCCCTCATTAGACTCCGGGCTATGTACACAGAGCTGGTCCTAGGATTTCCCGAGATCCGGCAAGAGATGAACATTAAACAATTATGTATGCACATACTTTAATGCAAAGCTCAGGCTGTTCTGGGAGTGGGTGGGTAGAGATCTGTTTAATCCTCATCATTTCCTTCTAGGGTGAGCATCTTCATTTCTATTTTTGGAGGGGACAATGAGGCTCAGAGTGATTAAGTGATCTCCCTGAGGTCACCTAGCAGAGACACAAGACTGAAAAGAAGCCTGAGCAGGGCTCCCAAGTGCAGCTGGGGAAGCGTGGGCACGGGCGGCTGGCGAAGCTGGAGGACAGTGGGCCAGCAGGAGCACGGGGTGTGGGGGGACAGAGGGCAGCACCTCAGGCTGGTTGTGTTCGAGGAACAGCATTAACTCCTGGGAAGCCAGGGTAGCTTGTTGATCTAGCAGGGCTGTGCATCTTCCCAGCAGGAGATGGTCCTCTATTGGGAAGGGATGATGGGACCTCATCAAATGGGAGTCCCTGGGCAGCCATGTTCACTACCTGTAAAATGGGGACAGGACTAGATGGGTGAGGTAGGGCACCCCACAGAGAAAGCAGCTTTTTCCCTTAACCCACACCTTGATTTGAGTCCCAAGAGCCAGGGAGGGGTATAGGGAGGTGAGGTAGGACATCCAGACCCGACCCCCACCCTGGGATGGTAAGGTCTAGAAGAAGCACCCAGCGAATAGGTTCTAATACTGCTGTGGGGCTCCTGCCCTGGGAGACTTGGGTCCATTTGGCCTTGAGGGCAGCCTGAGCATCTTTGTGCTGTGAGCAACAAACACCTGGGATCTGATGCAAAGGATCCCTGCCCCAACATTTGGGGACCTCTGCCTCGAGCATTTACTCAGGTGCCTCAATAGGCAAAAGAGAAGTCTAGTCAGAGAGGGTGCGGGCCACACCCCTGCCTCCTCCGCCTGGCTCAGGCCGCCCCTCCTCTTGGGAAGGCACGTGGAAGGGGGGTCTTCGTGTGTGGATGCTCAGCCTCTGCCTCTGGTCCCACCTTCAGCCTTGTCAAATTCCAAGGCCAATCTTGGCTTCCTCCTCTCCTTGAAGGAGGACAGCACAAGGTCGTGGGCGAGGCAATCTGACCAGACTGGGTGGGAATCCCAGCTCTACTCACTAGCAGTGGGACTTGGGTGCCTTGATGAGCAATTAGCAGACAACTTTTAAAAATATATCCCAGCCGGGCATGGTGGTGCACACCTGTAATCACAGTGGCTTAGAAGGCGGAGGCAGGAGGATTGCAAGTTCAAAGCCAGCCTCAGCAATTTAGCAAGACTCTAAGCAACTTACCAAGACCCTGTCTCAAAATAAAATATAAGAAGGGTTGGAGATGGAGCTCAGTGGTTAAGCACCTCTGGGTTCAATCCCTGATACAAAAAAAAAAAAAAATGTGTGTGTGTATGTATACATATATAATATATATTTATATGTATGCATATATACATATATGTGTGTATATATATATATATATATATATATTTCCTTAGCTGTGCTTTTCATAAAGCCATTAGAGTACTCCAAAGACTCAGGAAAATGAGGATGTTGAAAAATGCAAAGAGGCCATTAGGCAAATAAATCACTAACTAAATTGGCTTTCAGCTAATGGTTTTATTCCCTCAAGATCTTGGGCGAATTACTTGTCCATTCCAA